CAGCTAATTAAAAAAACAACCCAACAACTATTTAAAAAAACAAAAAAAACAACCCAACAAATATAAAAAACAACAACAACCCAACAATAACAATACAAGGAAACAAAAAAGGAAGCAGGCGGTCCAAGTTGTGACTGACTGACTGACGGGCCGGTGGGCGGGTGGGTTACCTGAAGGGGGCCGGGTGCTTCACAGTCTTGGTGTACTCGGGCTGCGGCGCCAGAGGTTTGGGGTTCGAGTACTTCATCTTGGCCAGCAGGCCGGCCTGGTAGAGGCGCGCCCCCACCCCCGCGGGCGGCTCCACCGAAAGTGACGTAGAGACTTTCAACTTTCCTGTGGACGCCGTTTTCCTGGTGGCGCGCTTGGAGGTCTTGGCCTTGCCCGAGGGCGCGGAACTCGGGGCGGACTCGCTGCTCCTGGCCGCGGCGTGCCTCGCTTCCTCCCCCTGGCCATCGTCTTTGCCTTTTCCCAGCATACCTTTGGAGCGGGCGCGGGCGATGGCGCTACGGGCCGCGTCTTTGGGGTCCTCGGGCTGGAGGAAGACAAGGGGACATCCCGCCAGTTTTAACATTTACAGTAGCAAAGGCTCATACAGTGGAAAACCCTTACCAAGATGAAACAACAAAAGTAACCCACATGCAAATCACAAAGAGCCAAATAACGGACCCCCACACACACATATTAGAAAATAACAAATTATAAAACAAACAAACGCAGAGAGCTCAAACCTTCATGAAGACAACAACAACAAATAAACGCAACCACTAAACAAAACTTGAAAATGTATATAAACAAACATACAAATGAACACCTACGCACAAAACAAACTTTGAATACAAACAAATAAACAAACAAACAAACCAAATAACAATCGAGCCTAGAGTAGCAACCACCCACTGTAACACTACACCACACTGACCTCATACGACCTTACGCAGTTGCGAGCGCCGTAACACTTCTACTAACTACTAAATATCTAAAACGAAACTAAAGCACTGACCTCCCTGGAGATGATGGCGACGAAACAGCCGTTGGACTTGTCGGAGGGTTTGAACCGGATGTACCTGCCGTCCACGCCACTCACTCCACCGTTGATCTCCTCGCTGTAGAACGGGATCACGGGGGGACTCACCTGGAGGGGGGGAGGGGAGAGAGGAGGAGAGAGGGGGGAGAGGGGGGAGAGAGGGGGGAGAGGGGGGAGAGGGGGGAGAGAGGGGGAGAGGGGGGAGATGGGGTAGAGAGGGGGAGAGGGGGGAGAGGGGGCAGAGTGAGAGAGGGGTAGAGGGGGGAAAAGGGCTCTTGATTATAGTGGGATTTACCTGTCTGTTTTGATTTGTTTGTTTTGTTATTGTTTTTGGTCTGTGTAAGCGTCAATGTAAACACACATGATAATATTATACATGTATATTGTGAAGCGCATCTTGAACATCTAGCTCTCACTGGCAAAACTGAAGGCAAACGGGGCAGGGGTAGGCCCAGAGCAACCTACTTAGGGAACCTAGACAAATGGGTAACAGGGAAAGATGGGGGAAACGTAGCTTTTTAAAGAGCATCCGAGCAAAGGAATGAATGGAGAACCATGATCGCCGATGTCTGTCGCAGATCTGGCACTGGATGAATGAAAGCGCAAAGAGTTTGCTGTTGAGTGGGGATATGTCCTATACAAATGTTATTTGTCATTTCAATAATTAGCATTTTTATTATCATAAGTCAATAGGGTCTGCAGTATAGTGGTTATGCTTCTTGACCTTGCAGACTGGAGGTGAATTCGATTTCTTTTTAAGACTTAAAAAAAAAAAGTCAATAACGACATTTATAGTGTAGATCTGGGTGATGAGAACATTCTGAAACAACCTCAACTTCCTGGGAAGCATACAATGCAAGCAGCCATTTATAGGCGCTAAAACACTAACCTACTGACATGATCTTTCGCTGCCTAAGGCCGGGTACCCATTCCCACCTGGGTGAAGTGGGGAACATGCGTGTAGTAAAGTGTCTTTCCCAATGACACAACATCAATCCCGCGGCTCGAACCCCCGAACCCGCAACCTCACGATTACGAATCCGGTAGCCTAACCACTAGGTCACCGACGCCACATTCACATAAATAGTCATAAACTCTGTTACTACCACTTTGGAGAACCAAAAAAACCAAACAACAACAACAGAACAAGCCCCCCCCCCCCCTAAAAACAGACACCACAGACAGACGACCCCAACCCTCAACAGACACCACAGACAGACGACCCCAACCCTCGCGTACCTTGTAGGGCAGTTTCTTGCCCGAGGTCTGATTGACGTACTCGGGCAGTTTCTTGCCCGAGGTCTGATTGACGTACTCGATGGACTTGGTCACCACAGACTCGTTCTCCGCCTCGTAGCGGGACCTGGTGCTGTATACCACCGCCTGGAGTTTGGGGACTGGGGGACACAGGGAGGGGTTGTTGGGGGGAAGGGGGGGGGAGGCACGTCGTTACAATAACAGTCATATAGTGCATGGGAGAAGTAAGACGGTTTGAGTTGGAGTATATATAGAAACACTTCGACACAGTGATGGTCACATTGAGCATGGAGGAGACGGAAACAACAGACGGAAGAAAAGTAGTAGGACCTACCAGTGACGTTCTCCAACCACCCATAGTACACAATGTCCTGCAGCTCGACGATTGTCAGCAATAAAATATACAGTCTGTTTAGGTTTTTTTGTTAGAGTTTTACTGCACTAGCAACACAAATAGTTCATATAAGTGCCAAAAACCCACTAGTTTGCTAGAGTTAAGAGAGGCACATCAAACGCCACACAATAACGGCCATTTCGTCTCTGCCCTTTAGTGCCAGGGAAAAGGAATGTGCCATTTATTTCTCTTTATTCAAACTAATAAACAATCACACAGCTGGAAAACTTAAAATTTCCGTGTTCTATTAAATAGCACAACATAATCCATCAATGGTCGTATAATCGAGATCTATGGTGTTCGCTGACCGTAATGGAAGTTATAGTAATACTGTTATCCTTTTTGTTTTCTTAGCTTGAGAAAAGACACAAACATCGTCAAAATAACGATGTATTAGGCACTGGGAAAAACATAAGAAAGAAACACGGAAACAGAAAAGGAACCTTTCTCATTCTGTGACGCACTCCAACGTCTGTCAGCTGGGACGTTGTTCCCCTCTCAGGCCCGGGGTGTCCTTGACACGTAGCGTCGGGCGCCCGCCTCCTAAATGATCTAAATTGTGTCGATAGAATGGTAGGAACAACAACTGTAACTCCTTCATCAGTAAGCTGTTTCCGCCAACTTTTGTACAGTCATGACACAATGCTCCTTCGAGAGAGACTTCAACAAAGTTGCACTCTATACCCCCTTATAGTTAGCAGAGGCCTTTATGAATGGGTTTTTAGATTCTGTTGGTCCTCCAACTTTTCGACTATATTATGCAAAGATCGGAGAAGATTAACAGAGCGATTTCATTTTGATATTGTTTCAACTGCAGTCAGATGAAAGTGGACAAACTATAATAATTAAACCTCTGTACAATCGTAATCACATCTCCTTATACTTCCCCAGTAAACAAGTAGACAAAATGATAGAGAACAAGACAGTTTCGGAGAATTTAACGAGTACATTAAATGATTGATTGATTGATGATGATTACACTTTTATTTGTTTTATTGTATATTATAGCTCAATATCTCAACACAAAGGGGAAGAAGTTGACAAAAATGCCTCCCGGCGGCTACTCACATTTGAGCGCGTGCTTGAGCTGCTTCTCGTGTTGCTGCATGAGCGTGCCGATGTGAGCCATGTCCGACTCCGCCTTGGACAGCTCACCCAGGATTTGCATGTCTGCTCACACACAGGGGAGAGAAAGACAGTGTTAAAAAACAAAATGTAGGGTTTTTATTTTCGTTCGCTCCCATTGACTAAACTTAGATCATTCAGGAAGCGAGATTTCGGCTCTGATTGTCAGGGCCAACCCAGACTGAGGGGAGTACAACATCACAGCAGGAAGACCGGAGACACTCGATAAAATTTCTCTACAATCGGGAATCGAATCCAGGTCTCCTGCGTGTGACAGTGAAGTGGACAACAGCTACATCACAGACGTGGGCGCAGACAGGGGAGTGAGAGAAAAAACAGGGAGTGGGGTACATGCTTGTACAGGAATTTCTCAGCTTCCAAGACACATAATAATGTACAACGGCGTGTGTCAATTCCCGAGAAGGGAGACTTTTTATCGTGTGGTTCAGTCTTTCTGCTGGGACGTTTATATTACCCCCTTCCCCCCCCCCCCAGTCCCGAGGTGGCTCTGACAGGCAGGGTCGACCACCATACATGATATGGATTGGGTCGAGGGGACGTAAAGCAGCTATCTTAAAAAAACACAAAAACAAAATACATGCACGTACATAAACACTATTATACGCTATAATGATGTACAGTAGATTCTTTCTTCTTCCCCTACGCCTATCTTCTGGCGATAACCCAGTAAGTGTCAAAAGACAGTACATTTTCTATCTTTGTATACATCAATAATTGAGCCCAACAATAAGTAAAAGAGAGCCGTACACTGGATAGTCACGAGGGTGCCCCTGGTTCAAACAGCAGTAGTCTTTGTGTTTTATTCCACGAAACTATACCTGCAATTCCTGCTACCACGAAAGGATTACAAATCTCAGCCCCCCCCCTTTATTTCATGCGTTGCAACTTTCCTTAACAACGAGAAGAAAGTCTCTAGTCTCCTAAAGTTCCCGCTGTCAGGGTCCTATATATGTACAATAATTTAAAAGTGTTCATGGAAGTGAGAGAAGGACAGTGCATCAGATTCCGACTCCCGACAAATCTGACTATCTTCAAATAGGCGTTATATCCGCGTCCTAAACATGGTGGTATACATCTGTCGTCAGCCAGTATTGATTTCCAGACGTAGACAATTTGTCAACAAAACAAAGCTAGCAGAGAGTGGATGACAGTGAGGCGGACGGCAAGAGGATCAACTCATTACAATAACAGTTGAACTTGGTCACAGCAAACACATTTATTGTTCAAACCTGTTTAGTTGAGCTTGATTTGTCTATTTGTTAATTTCTTGTGCTCTTAGGATGGAGATTACGCTATTGTGAAAAAAGGTATTCGAGCGTTTTGTTTCATGATCAATTATTCCAACCATGTCGATAGTCCCAAATCTGCGAAATCCTAGTCATGTCCGTGAATCCGAACCAGAACCACGCCCTGCAGACAATAGACATCACATAAAACCCTGACCAATACAGAGTGAACACTAACAAGGGCCAGAGATAAGCTCTCACTGTAACAGGTCGAACATTTTTCACCCTTGTCTTCGCTGACGATAAACTGACGAGAGAGATTTTCGTTTTAGTGAGAGTTTTACGGCACTTGTAACACAATAGAGTTATACAAGAGCCGACGATTAGAGATGTTACTATAATAGAGATTTTGTTTTAGAAAGGTTTTAAGGCGCTCGCAACTGCATAAGGTCATATTTATGAGCGCCAAGTGGAGGATGTCAACAGAGAAGTCCAAACGGAGAATCAGGCTTACTCGGCTCACCTCTGTAGCCTCAACAGCACAAAGTCTGCTTCGACTATCAAGGCGTCCACGCACTTCACAAAACTGACGAGAGATGAGCGCTGACAACACCACGAGAATACAACTCACCCCCCCCCCTCGCTGACGATGACTACAAAACAAACATTACTCACCCTCGCCCTCGCTGACGATGAATTGTACCGGGCTGGTGATGGCCGACTTGCTACAGTTGGCGGAGATAAAGATGACGCGCACGTTCCTGAACCGTGAGTCCTCGGGGTCAGAGTTCAGGAAGTCCTCCTGGATCACCCTCGTGTCTGGTGGAGGGAGCGGTCAAGGACAAACAACTTGCAGAGACTTTTAAAACATTCTAGGCAAAGGACTACTCGAGCATCCCTTCTATAGAATAAGTTTTAAGTCTTTCACTGCCACCGGAACAATCACAATATGGATACCATGCGGGCTTTGGTGCTTGGGGGGGTGGGGGTGAACACTTATGGGCCTGTCCGGCGTGCAATGACGTTGTTGCCCAGGACAGGTAATACAGGTAAGTCTTTCGCGAAAAAAGTCACGGTCGACATCGGGTGTCAATGACCTCTAGAAGAGATACAAAAATGTAAGACAGAAGAAGCATCATAGTGAACGCAGCCCATGTTGTAGGATCATGTACATGAACTAGCATCTAAGGAGACAGCACAGAAACAATCATATTATTTTATAAGTCAGTTCCTTAAGAGGCCCACGTGGGCCGCTCACTAATTAGAAAACAATTAAGAAGAGACAAAAGCAGTTTCTGGAACACTTGAATCGGCACAATGGCCTTAAACATTTGAGCTATAACTAGTGCACTAGAAAGCAAACGAGGCAGGGGTAGACCCAGAGCAACTTACGTGAAAGCCGGAACAGACGGAGAAAGATCAGGATAATGTAGCTCTTTTGAGAACAACTGATGGAAGGAATGAATGAAGAACAATGAACACCGAGGTCTGTAGCAGATCCAGCACTTGAAAAGATGATCTTACTTCAAATCACAGTTTTTAAGAACACATTAATCAAATTTCCAAGTTTCGAGCTTCAGCTCAGCCCAATGCTGTGTTCTTGGGAAAGGCACTTTGCACGAAATGACCACTTGGCTCGGTCCTTTCGGAGATGAACGTTAAACTCGGAGGTCCTGCCTCTAAAAATAACCTACTACTAGTGTTGATAGGGGCGTTAAAACTTTACCATTTTACCATTTCAATACCCCCAAGCAGTCTCCCCTTAAATGAAACCAACCAGCACCCGTAGATCAAAACAGACACCACCAAGGATACTTTTGACCCCGAGCATCTCCAGGTTTTTGTTGACCTTCCTGGCTTTCTCCGCGCCGTCCACGCCAAAGGCCCACAACTGTGACTTGGCTGACTCCTGGCACAACAGGCTGGCCACGTGACCTGTGCTCATGCCTGTGCCCACGTTCACGTGGATGACGTCATGGTCAGTGCTCAGCACGTTGCGCACGGTCATCGGGGCCAGGCAGCTCGACTTGTCCTGGTGGGAAAAAGTGGAAGTAGTTGAAGATAAGGGGAGAGGGGAGGGGGGCAGTTGAGGAAAAATTAATTGAGTCACAAAAAGTGAGACACACGATACAACGAAACGAGTACGCAAAAGGTAATTAGTAGTGTTGTACGCATTTATGGACCCGCTTCGAGCCTTTTAGGGGACAGGCTCCGTCGAACCTATCCGTCTGTGACAACCCAGGCTGGTAATCCACATCCCTACAGACTCAGTTTTTAAAAAAAGGGCTTTTATAGAAATCTAGCTCACGTCTTCAAGTCTTAAGTGAACGAAGGTGAAGGGCCTAACCTCTAACAAACACTGTTAAATGATCATGTGTTTTGTATGTAGTATTCTTTTATTCAAGTTAGGTTGTTGTTGCGAATTATTGTTGCTGTTATTGTTGTTGTTGTTGTTGTTGTTGTTGCTGTTGTTGTCGTTGTTGTTGTTGTCGCATTTTGTTTGATAGGAGATTGCCATAATGCATTTCTCTCTTGTTTGAAAGATCGGAGCAAGAATCCCTTCTTCAAGAAGAAAACCTGGCCAACTGATATCATGACGTAGACTACAGTAAGGGACAAAATGACACAGAGTTTAGTTGGGTGGTCTCTGGGGAGCTTCCTTAACCAAGACAGCATAACTCTAGCTAAAAATAAAGACAATGCTGCACTGTGGCGACCAGCCTTGGCGGGTTTGTTACGTGACATTGTGTAAACCAGTGGCTTCTCAGTCATGCTTATTAAACTTATTTTCATATTATTAAAAACATCAGTTTTTAATGTAGGTGTTTTTCACCTCCATCCACACATTTAGATCATTTAGAAAGCAGGCTTTCGACCCTGGGCTACTCGGTAAAATTTCTCCCCGCTCAGAAATCGAACTTGGGTGTCCCGCGTACGTAAGCGAAGCGCCTAGCTGTTCAGCCACCGACGCCTGTCAACAGCGTGTGTGAGCGCGCACACGTGTGTGAATGAGTGTGTGAGCGTGCGCGCGTGTGTGAATGAGTGTGTGAGCGTGCGCGCGTGTGTGTATGTGTACGTAGAAACAAAACTATATGTCCGCACCTGTTGCACGAGACTGCCATCCTTGACCCACTGGGAGTCCTTGAAGTACATGGCCAAGTTTGGCGGGAAGACGAGCAGGTCCGGGCAGTGTCTGTCCACCCGGTACACGCGGTCCGTCTGCTCCGTCATGTCCACGCCCTCATCTGCCCGAGTGAAATCCAGGCCTTCCAGCTCCGTGATGAAATCCTCCACTCTGGGGGCGGGATGG